GGGGGGGGGGGGCGAAGCCCCACATAAAACCGGCGCAGAGCGAAGCGGAGCGCCGGTTTTTTTCTTCTGGAAATTAGATACCTAGTAGACGATTCAGTTTATTTTTGAAAGCTTTAATCTCTAAAGCTCCCTATTTAGCATATCAAATTCTACGTAACCCTTTGAGCCATTATACAAGGGACGTACGACAACGACTGAGTCTGCCAATTTATGAATAAAAAATAATACCTATATATAACACAAATAGGTACAGCAAGTGATGAGGTATGTGTGAAGTCACAGACAAGGTGATGAGGTGTCTGTTTAGGAATCTCGGACCAAGAGGATTACATTTTGCAATAAGGAACCACCATTTCTGGCCAATTTTAGAAACAACATACATGCCATTGGTGTTCCTATGCAGATATGTGCTTTTATGGGAGAGCCAGGGATAGTGGCTCCCGCTCCATATTGCAAAATGTAATCCAAGTAATGAGTAAGGAAAAGTAAGACTGAGTAAAAATGATCAGTACTATGTCACCTGTGGTAGTGCTTTATGTTTATGGAGTAAGATCTTCAAGGCCTCAGAATTGCAAAAGCGACGATGGGTACACAATAAAATTGAGTTTTAGCAATCGAGAAAATACTTGTACACATTTTTTAAGACTTACTTGCGCGGAGATATTTAAAAATTATATAATCAAAGAGTAGTTTACGAGATATTTTTGCATTGATTCAGAAATGACCCTGACAATGGTGGGACAACGAAAACCATTTCAACAGCTTGAAATTGAGAAGGAACAGAACAAAAGAAAGGTAACATGAATACCATGTTACTGCCATTGATGAAATTGTACACATTTTTCTCGCTTTTTTGCCCCCCCCCCCACACACACACACACAACAAGTATATTTTCATAATTAAATTGATTTTGATGACTGGAATTACAATCCACAGATCTTAATGATAGGCATAACTTAGTATAGTCGATCATTTATTTGGAGGTAGTTCATAATGTGTAATTTCAACTTAAACATAGCCAATAGATACCTTAGGTATAAGAAAGTAGTTGTGGCAATTGTATAACATTATGGATGTAATAAAAAAAAAAAGAAAAAAATAATTTCTCTTCTAAAGGAAAATGAAATTTCTTCACGAACTTCCCAAAAAATAAATCTATGACTACACCTGCTAATACTGGTGTGACTAGTTTCTTGAGTCCATAACTGAGCTGACAATTTTCTGGTAACTCCCGACTCCAATCAATTGATCCTTTTTCTGTTGTTTGTGTACCTGGAACATAATACAGATATTTGAAGAATTGAAATTGTTCCAACTTAGAAGTTTGGATTTAACATTTCTGATTATTAATTCAAGATTTCACCCAAAAAAATAAGCTCACACCTATCTGGTTTTGAAGGTTACATTTCCTTTGCAAAGTCTAAGATTTTTGACTAGGCTCATTCCCTGATTTTCAGGAGCTCATTCCTTGATGAGAAACCAAAATTTTTTCCCACTTTCCCGGGATTTTCTGCGGAAAAAGAATGTAACTCTCCAGAGTTTCATAGATGAATATCGATTTTAATTAATCTTTTAGCCATTTCTTTAGCGCACATTCAAAATTCTAATTCTGATAGCGTTCCTGATGTATATTATCTGGTCAATGAAAGCTCCTCCATTCTTTAGATGATTTGAAGCTTCAAATGTATCAGATTAGACCGCCTTTGGAAACGAAGTGATCCCTAAGCCGTAGAGGAAGAGATTCCCGGCTTCTGGAAGAGATTTCCTGATTTTTCCCTTTAAATTTTCATTCCTTGATGAATCCCGGTTTTTCCTGTTCTAGACACCATGCTTTACTTCCAACAATTGAGTGATAATTTATGTAAAGCATACCAACTGGCAAAGAAATAAAATCAAGTGGTAAATCCAAATGACAATATAATGTTCTAATCTTAGTAATTGATGGTTTTGGCCAGGTAGGCGACAGAGAGAGCATCTAGCCAAGGGGGGTAGAGGGCATTTGTGAAGAGATGGAGAGATGCCAGCTTCCAGAGGATCTCTACCATGACAGATTTCTGTGGAGAGTAGGCGTCGCAGAGCGCCCTTGCGCGCCGTAAAAGCGGCTTATACATACACATGGTTTTAGAACTATTTCAGAAGTAAAGGCCACAAGTAGTGCAGGGTTAGGGATTTTCTGCGGAAATGTGTGTTGAAAGAGGAGTCTTGTTTTCATAATTTGGATGCACGCAAAGGGAACATCTTGAATTGAACAAACATCAAAATCGAAAATAAAAAGTCAAGTACCTATGAAATTTCAAGAAGAAAATTAAATAGGGTCTCCTCAAAAACTATGAATTTCCATTTTACCAACTTTGAGTTTTTTTATGAGGCAGTTGGTCATGCAAATTTCTTTCGGATCCTAAATGTTGTGTTTCTTAAATTGAAGGTGATAATATTTGTACTGTCAATTACTTAGAAGTATTCCCAACCTGATATGACACCAGAAGCTTTCTTAGTTGTGATGTAGTACATGGTCTCCTTATTCCTCCTTCCTCCGAAAGGTCGGAAAGGCAGATTTCCTGTTGCAACATGGTAGAGCGTGACACCGATAGACCAGAGATCAACAGTGGCCCCAAATGTTTTCCCAACCGGTTTCCGCAAAACTGCTCTTTCATACATATCCGGATGCAGATATTCCTCAGTGCCATAGAGGGACATAAATTGCTGATCCTCTTCCAATTCTCTAGCTGCTCCAAAATCAGTAAGCTTATACACAGTTCTGCCATCATCACAGATAAATTTCATGATATTTCCAGGCTTGAGATCCCTGTGGACAAGGTTATTGTCTCGCAGATGTTTCATCCCTGCAGTCAAGTGCTCCAAGACTAACAGAAATTCCTCTTCTTGAAGACCATAAGTGTTTTCAGGGTCATCTAGGATATTAAATAAGCTACCACCTGTACATAACTCCATAACAATGACCTTGCCTTTATGGTCCGACTGTTCTTCTTCGATCGCCAGCAGTTTGACAATGTTTTCATGCTTCACTTTCTTCAACACTTCAAACTCTCGCATCTGAACATCTTGAGGTCTCATGTGACTGAGCTGGTTGAATGTTTTCACAGCAACAGGCTCACCATTGTGTTTGTTGACACCTTGGTACACAGCACCTGTGGCGCCTTTCCCTAAAACACTAGTGGTGCACCAAACATAGTTCAAAGAACCTTTGAGGAAGGACATGTTAACTCAATATTTCACATTCCAGTAAAAGTAATGAAGGCTCCACATTGAGCAACAAGAAATTAACGAGGAAACTCCTGTAACCTTTTTAAAACGTTTTGAAGTCGCTTTCTACTAAACTGAGGATGTACATACTTGAATTCATGAATTCGTCATGGTCAAAAGCGTCGGGAAAATCGAAAATTACATTGCTGGATACATGGAAGAAAACGGTACGTAGAGGTTCACAAACATAAAAATAATAGAATACGACTGCACCGAACACAAATGCGGCGACTCACTTGTTCATTATTCTGACGCAAGAGTGAAGGAAAATCAAAAGGATTCGGAAATAGAACGTACTGTTTCGCTAAATACTAACCATACCCAATGCAGAACTGGCAAAACATAACCACAAACAAATCAGCTACGATCAGAGACGACCCTCCCTGCCGAGATGCGGCAAACGAGTTTCACCGAAAAACCTTCAAATTTCTGCACTAACCACAAACCGTTGCGAAGCTGCCTTTGAGGTTATAAAAACACAGTTTTGATATCAGAGTCAGAGATAAGGGCTGATATGCTGATAACACTAGTGAACTGCTAGGACGACGTAAGAATCCTAAAAT